TGATGTACTGTATGGTGACTAACATGATAAAATAAAATTTTTAAAAAAATTTTAAAAAAGAGACACAATAAGAATCATGCCCAAGTAGTCTAGCACACATATAATTGAAATCCCAGAAGAAAGAGAAGTAGAAGCAATATTTGAATACCCGAATTTTCTAAATCTGATGAAAGACATCAACTCATAGAATATTGAACCAATTGCTTTAAGAACTTCATCCAAAAAAAAAAAAAAAGGACTTCATCCAACCCCACAATATTACAAAGAAAACTAGACCTACACATCACAAACTCCTAAAAAACAAAAACAAAGAGACAGGGGAGGGGGGAAAGACACATTATCTACAAAGCTTCAAGCTTAATAGAAATGATAGAGATGAAATAGCAGCTAACCAAAATTCTATACCCAGAGAAAATATTATTCGAAAACAAAGTTGAAACAGGAACCATCATACATTGCTGGTAGAATTTTAAATGGTAAAGCTGTTGTGGCAAACAGGTTTGGCACACCCTCAAAAGTTAAACACAATTACCATATGACCCAGCAATTCCACTCCTAAGCATCTACCCAAATGAAGTGAAAATGTGTGTCCACACAACTTGTACACAAATGTTTATAGCAGCATTATTTATAAAAGCCATAAAGTGGAAACAACCCAAATGTCCATCAACTGATGAATGAATACACAAAACGTGACACAGCCATAAAATGGAACAAGAAAAAGGAATAATATACTCATACACATAAGAATATGGATGAGGGACACCTGGGTGGTTCAGTTGGTTAAACATCTGCCTTCGGCTCAGGTCATGATCCCAGTGTCCTGGGATCGAGTCCCATATCGGGCTCCCTGCTCAGCTGGGAGCCTGCTTCTCCCTCTGCCTGCCGCTCCCCCCTGCTCATGCACGCTCTCTCTCTCTCTCTCTCTCGCTGACAAATAAATAAAATCTTTAAAAAAAAAAAAAAAAGAACATGGATGAATCTTTAAACACTATTTTAAGGGAAAGAAGCCAGACACAAAAGGTCACATCTTATATGATTTCATTTATGTTAAATGTCCATGAAAGGCACACCCACTGAGATAGAAAGCAAATTAGTGGTTGCCACAGGGTTAGAGGTAGGGGAAAATGGGTGACCCAGTGAGTACGGGGCTTTTTTTGAAGGTGATGGAAATGTTCTGGAATTAATGGCGATGGCTGTGAATATAATAAAAAAACACTGAATTATACACTTTTAAATAGTGAATTTTATGGTATGTTAATTGTATCTCAATTTTTAAAAAGGTAAAATAAATACTTGTACAAACAAACCAAAACTGAGGGAATTCATCAACAACAAGCCTACACTAAAAGAATTACTAAAAGAAATATTGAAAGAAAATGATCTTAGATAGAAACATGGAAATGTAGTAAGAAAGGAAAAATAATTATTATAACAAAATGACTTGTGAAGTTTAAGATAATGTGTATATAAAACAGAAAATATAGGAGATAATAGAGATCTGTTAGCAAACATGTTTTATGTAATACTGAGAAAGTCACCATGAGAAAGCATGCATTTCTAGAAATTATAAAAAGTATACGTTTGCCAATCCACAGAATGCTAATATAAGAGACAGTTCATAATTGTTTACTTCTCTATTTTCATTAAAAGTTTGGGGCTTTTTAGGATTTTAAATTTCAACATATGCAATTAAAGCCATTAAGCTTTGGAGAAAAGGAAACTTTTTTTTTCTTTAAGATTTTATTTATTTCAGAGAGAAAGTGAGTGAGCACAAGTAGGGGGAGGGGCAAGGGGAGAGGGGAAGCAGACTCCCTGCTGAGCAAGGAGCCGATGCAAGGCTCTATCCCAGGACCCCAAGATCATGACCTAAGCCAAAGGCAGATGCTTAACCAATTGAGCCACCCAGGCACCCCAAAATGGAATCTTCAGAAAAGAATTTTATGCATGGTCATGACTGGCTAAGATTAGAATAAATTTCATTAAGCAAATGAGCTTCAATATCAAAAGTAAGTAGCTGCAAGGGCGCCTGGGTGGCTCTCCCTCTCCCACTCCCCCTGCTTGTGTTCCCTCTCTCACTCTCTCTCTCACTGTCGAATAAATTAAATCTTTAAAAAAAAATAAGTAGCTGCAAAATTAGAATTTGGGTTTCTCTCTGTTAAAAGGACAAAGTTTTCTTGGACTACTGGTCCGCTCTTTTTTTTTTTAAGATTTTATTTATTTATTTGACAGAAAGAGAGAGAGAGAGAGAGACAGCGAGAGAGGGAACACAAGTAGGGTGAGTGGGAGAGGGAGAAGCAGGCTTCCCGCGGAGCAGAGAGCCCAGTGTGGGGCTCGATCCTGGGATCATGACCCGAACTGAAGGCAGTCGCTTAACCAACTGAGCCACCCAGGCGCCCCTCGTCCGCTCTTGATAAGAGAGTATGAAAGGTTTTTCTTTAAAATAATCTTCCTAGAAAACAAAGATTCTGTGTTTTGGCAAAATAATTTCCTCTGTTGACTTTATAAGGTATCTGATTACTTAAGAAAGCTGAATCTTCTCTACTAAAAGAGCTAAGGGTTTTTTTTGTTTTTGGTTGATTAGTTTTTTTACAATGATTTAACTTTCTATATTTGCCTGCAAAATCTTTTATTGTCACTATGGTTAAATGGATAACTGGGTGTTGTTTCACAATGACCTATTTCACCAAGTATTTTAGGAGCTTTGATATTTTTGACAAACTTCTTCCAAATCTAATCCTAAATGAAGTCATTTTAACTTTGTGATTTTTCAGAGGTTCTCTGGAACATCTCAAAAGATTTATTCTCTCTCCTTCTAAAAACGGAAATGTTAGAGATGCCTGGGTGGCTCAGTCGGTTAAGCGTCCATCGCTTGATTTCAGCTTAGGTCATGATCTCAGGGTGGTGAGATCTGGCCCCACATGGGGCTCTGCACTCAGTGCAGAGTCTGCTTGTCCCTCTCCCTCTACTCCTCCTCCCTACTCTCTCGCTCTTAAATAAATTAATTAAATCTTTAAGAAGGGAAATGTTAAAAGGGCTATTTGATGTTATATTACATGGGAAGCATTATCAAATAATAATTCTAAACCTTCTTTATGTTGTTATTTGTATACATATACCTTTTAAGTGTGCTAGAAATTGTATGAAATTCTTAGAAATCTAGTATATAATGTTATCAGTCATGATTCCAGTTATTTTTAAATGTTGTATGTCACAGAAATAACCAACTTTCCTTTTCGATTCCCTTATATTGAACTCTCATCAGATCTTTAACAATGGGCATTTTAAATCTTTATCATTTACAGAGTAATTGTTTTACTCAGATGTTTTTGCAAAAGAGTTTCTGCAAAAGTGTTTCCTCTTCCAATATTCATGGAAAGAACTTTCACAAGTACAGGTTTCTGACTGTTTTAAGATCACAAAACTGAACTGGATTCAGGCAAAACAAGTATTATCTACATGGGACTGAATTAACTGAGGAATATTATAATTTTTTATGACTTTTTGTCTGGAACATCACTGTTCGGGTTTTGTTTTTTTTTTTCCAGATTCTTAAGCTACCTATGACTCACAATTGTAAACAAAGATAAAAGATTTACTTTTTCTCTCTAATCCCTCCAGAATTCAGAAACTCTTGAGTATTCTTTTCATAGCAATATAGTTCTTTACATAAATTCAATAAAAGTCTGTTCTCCATATAACAGGACGCAATTGGAAATATTGCCAAGGCTTTGACTGGAATAGCACTGCAGGTAAAATCTGATGGTGAGTCCTTGGCTTGGTTTCCTGGCCTCAGAAGCTTTTATGAATCCAACCTGAGATAAAAAGTTTCAGGAAAACAGCCTTTTTTTTTTTTAATTTATTTATTTGACAGAGAGAGAGAGAGAGAGCACGAGAGCAGGAACACAAGCAGGGGGAGTGGAAGAGGGAAAAGCAGGTTTCCTGCCGAGCAGGGAGCCCGATATGGGACTCGATCCCAGGACCCTGGAATCATGACCTGAGCCGAAGGCAGACGCTTAACGACTGAGCCACCCAGGCACCCAGGCAAACAGCCTTAAAAGGAGCTTATATGGTCCATTACTCTTCCTGCTCTACTTATGTAAATAATCAGGCCATGTGTGATGCAAACAAATTAGTTTTACTGTGATTATCTTCTGTAAAAAAAAAAAAAAAAATGGGGGTAATTGTACAGAGAAAAATTATGTTTGTGTACCTTTGTCTATATTAGCCGCTAATCCTGTCAGCTGCCTTTGAGGTTTTGTTATATACCTTAACTGGGCTAGATCCTGAATTCTAGTTTCCTCAAGTATCTGGCTACAATTCTCCAAACAAACATTTCCAACTTCCTTCCACCCTTCTAATTTAGACTCCCTAAGAACAAAGACTCCCCATGAATATCCTTGGAAGGGACTATAACCAGGTCTTCCTCAACATCCAGTTGGCAGCCAAACTTCAGAGACTTGAATCTTGGGTCTCCACCTAACATCTATCTGGTCCAATATACCAGCTGGAGACCTCAAAATCAAACTAATGAAAAAGAGTAGAAGTTGACATCAAGGTAAACTGCTCCCAAAATGCTACATCAAAACCTCACACTTTAACTAAACATGAACCCCTCTCTTTCTTTCTTTTACTCTAGTGTTGGCTTGGAAAGATAATGCCACCATTTACGTCTCCCAGACCATTGCTAAGGGATTTTAAATGCTGGATTTTTCATCAAAAACTCTGATCTGGGGGCACTTAGGTAGTTCAGTCTATTAAGCCTCTGCCTTTGGTCAGGTCATGGTCCCAGAATCCTGGGATCAAGCCTCAGGTCAGCTCCCTGCTCAGCAGAGAACATGCTTCTCCCTCTCCCTCTACTGCTCCCCCTGCTTGTGCTCTCTCTCTCTGTCAGATAGATGAATAAAATCTTTTAAAAAGAAACTCTGATCTGTCCATGATGCTAGAGACCCCCTGGTCTGATTCCCTGTCTCAGGTTAACAACCCCAAACTTGGGTTACATGCGTCATTTAGTCGGTTAATCATCCGACTCTTGATTTCAGCTCAGGTCATGATCTCAGAGTCATGAGATCCAGCCCTGAGTCAGGCTCTGCACTGGGGGGTGGAGCCTGCTTGGGATTCTCTCTCTCCCTCTCCCTCTGCCCCTCCCCCTCCCTTTCTAAAACAAAACAAAACACACCAAAAAAAAAAAAAAAAAAAACCTTGGGGAACTTTGTGTCCAGACTCCATACAAAGAAAAGGATAACCAGAATAAAAAAGCCTGTGTGGTCTACAGACCCTTAAAATTTTATTGGCCTCCCTGGCTGTCACCTTTACAGTACTGAGCCACAGATTCAAATGGGAATTACCAGGAGGCATTCATGATTCAAGATTTGCTTCCTTTGGCAGGGCCCTTCTTCCCTAGCCAACACCATGTGCTGCACCTGGATTAACACCCATGGGAAAGCTGAAACTCAGTTACATAAGATCACTGAGCAAGCCACTTGGCTTAAAAAGGTGACTCCTTCAATGGGGTCTTTCTTTGACTTACCTGATTTTTGATTGATTTGGGTCTTAGGGACCATGGCTTAGAAGTAAACTGCAGACATTGGGAATTATCCTGCTTATCATAGTCATTATAGTCTCCCTAGCATGCTGTATTCTCTCAGAGGCTTTAAATTCATGTTTAATGACACTTACTACCAAGCAATTGATCTAAGACTGGAATATCAGTAAAGTAACAAAGAGAATGACCAAACCTTAAAAAATATGAACCTGAAGCAGGAGGGAAAGAATGAAGGGGAGTAAGTTGGAGGGGGAGACGAACCATTAGAGACGATGGACTCTGAAAAACAAACTGAGGGTTCTAGAGGGGAGGGGGTGGGGGGATGGGTTAGTCTGGTGATGGGTATTAAAGAGGGCACATTCTGCGTGGAGCACTGGGTGTTATGCACAAACAATGAATCATGGAACACTGCATCAAAAACTAATGATGTAATGTATGGTGGTTAACATAACAATAAAAAATTATTAAAAAAAAAAAAAAATATGGGGCACCTGGGTGGCTCAGTTGGTTAAGCGACTGCCTTCGGCTCAGGTCATGATCCTGGAGTCCTGGGATCAAGTCCCACATTGGGCTCCCTGCTCAGCGGGGAGTCTGCTTCTCCCTCTGACCCTCTTCCCTCTCGTGCTCTCTATCTCTCATTCTCTCTCTCAAATAAAAAAAAAAAAAAAAATGAACCTGAAGTTGTGTCCTGTGAATATCACAGAGATTAAGCAAAAAATGTCATTACCTATATACCACACAAAGGATCGACAAAAACTTCAAGAACTTCAGAACAATAGGTGGTAGTAACATTAATGCTTTAAATTTTTATCATGGGGCACCTGGGTGGCTCAGTAGGTTAAGCATCTGCCTTCAGCTCAGGTCACAATCTCAGGGTCCTGGGATTGAGTCCCATATGGGGCTCCCTGCTCAGCAGGGAGTCTGCTTCTGCCCCTCCCCCCTGCTCATGCACTCTCTCTCTCTCTCTCAAATAAGTAAAAAAAAAAATTGGGGGGAACGCCTGGGTGGCTCAGTTGGTTAAGCGTCTGCCTTCGGCTCAGGTCATGATCCCAGAGTCCTGGGATACAGTCCCGCATCAGGCTCCCCGCTCAGTGGGGAGTCTGCTTCTCCCTCTGCCTGCCACTCCCCCTGCTTGTGCTCTCTCTCTCTCTCTGACAAATAAATGAATAAAATCTTTAAAAAAAATTTTTTAATCCTTAAATTTTTATGTCTCTTAGTTAATGTGAGAGTCTGATCAAAAGGAATGAAATGTTAAAAAAAAAAAAAGGAACAAGAGACCCAAAGTGGAGTTCACTTGCCCTATGATAGCAAACCAAAAATTAATATCTAACCTAATTGCAGTTTCAGCCTCTCTCAGGGATGTAACCTTTACAACTCAATCTGGAATTACCTGATCAGCACTAGTGAGGTAATTTGCATGACAGGCTCCCACCCTTCCCCCAAAGGAAGGTGACCTTGCCTGAAACAATCCACTCTTTGTTAGAAACTTCCTTTTTCTGCCCCCTTCTGCCTACAGAAGCACTCCATTCTGTACAGCTCTCCAGAGCTCCTATCTACTTGCTAGAGGGAATGCTACTCCATTCAAGAATCATTAAGTAAAGCCAATTACATCTTCACATCTACTCAGTTGAATTTTAACAAATATAAATCTGATATTAATAACTTTGTGTTTCTATACTGTTCTATTCACTTAAGATTATAAATAAGTCGACAATAAAAAAATTAAAAAAAAAAAGATTATAAATAAGTCGATACCATTTTATTAGGTTAACAGCCAACTCACTTCTTTTTAAGACTAATGTGAAAAATAGTTTGGCTTGTTTACTCATAACAACAGATAATCAAAATACACAGGTCAAAATTAATTATTAAAATTTCAAATTCAACCAAGTCACAAATACATGCAACTTAAACATTTAACATGTAAGCATAAATAATTTATGCCATGCCATTAAATTTTAAGGGCATTTTTCAGCAATTATGACAATAAAAATTCCTGAGGTTATAACTTATTTCTGAAATTACTGGTACTTTCATGCTCTTCTTTTTTGATAGGCATTTTGTGAGAGGTGAAGTAATGCATAAGAACCGCTAAATGACCTTGTTCCTGTTACAATATCCATTTTTGTAAAAGTAAAATCATGACTCTCATACAAATATGAAATGAACACACATCAAAGACTACTTAACTCATTAATTAATGAGTAATCCCGTAAAATATTACAATCAATTCAGAGAGAATTCAAAATATCCCACATGTACTGGCAATCAGAAATGCTGAAATGAATTTCTAAATAGATACAAACTAGCCTTTTAAGGGGAGGAAGAAAGTGAAATCAATTGTCCCTCCACCTGGAAATAATCATTGGCATATCTATGAAAAAGAATAATTTGGATTTCCAGCAGTGAACAGAGCTATAAAGTACTTCAAAGACAATGAAAGGTGCAAACTTCATAGAATCAGATAACCCAGAAGGATACAACATTCCAGACAATCTAGTTTTCCATTGAAGGCACCCTGTTTTTCCAAATCCATTTCAAGTCTTTCACATTTTTCCAGACAGTCCCAAAGTGAAGTACACTAGAATCAAGGAAAAGAAACAATCTTTTATTGAAATAAGTAAGATCAAAAGAAGCCTGCCATGAAATAATTTGAAGGAAGGGGTGCTACAAATAAACACTCCAGAACTAGAATGCATAATTAATGAAAATATAATTCTCCATGTATTCAGCATCAATCAGAGAATGAAACCTAGCTCAAAGAATAGAAGGATAGGACTCTAAACTTCATAGTCACCAGTACTCTTACAAAGCCATGTATCTTAAACCAATATAAGGGTCATGGTTGGCAGGAAAGGTACTTGATCACTTTGATGGGTTGTGGGCCAGGAGTGAACGGCCAAGAAAGAATTCTTGAGACAAGGCAGGCGGCGGTGGGGGGGCACACACCTGAATGGCTCAGTCTTGGCTCGGTTCATTATCCCAGGGCCCTGGAGTCGAGCCCCACATCAGGCTCCTCCCTCAGTGGGGTGGCCTGCTTCTCCCTCTCCCTCTGCCTGCCGCTCCCCTTGCTTATTCTATCAAATAAATAAAATCTCTAAAAAAAAAAGGCACGGGGATAGGACCCATAGGCAGAAAGAGCTGCACTGTGATTGTGAGGAGTGATATTTATATTTATATTTTTTAAAGTAGGCTCCATGCCCAGGGCAGAACCGAACACGGAGCTCAAACTCAGGACCCTGAGATCAAAACCTGAGCTGAGATCAAGAGTTGGACTCTCAACCGACTGAGCCACCCAGGTGCCCCAATTATATACTTTAAAAGTGGGGTTGGTAGGGTGCCTGGGTGGCTCAGTTGGTTAAGCAACTGCCTTCGGCTCAGGTCATGATCCTGGAGCCCTGGGATCGAGTCCCACATCGGGCTTCCTGCTCAGCGGGAAGTCTGCTTCTCCCTCTGACCCTCTTCCCTCTCATGCTATCTCTCATTCTCTCTCTAATAAATAAATAAAATCTTTAAAAAAAAAATAAAAGTGGGGTTGGGTAGGCATAAAGCAAATTTCTAAAGGGATGTTCATAGGTTAAAGAAGGCTTACAGGATCCTGCAGGTCTGCCTATATTGTCAAGCTAGGGTTGTTTTTTGCCTCCAGCAAAGCATTAACATTAAAGCAGTTGTGAATTCCTTGAGGAATGTCATACTTTACCTGTCTCACGTATTTGTCAATGGGTTGCAAATTGTAAGGAAATTTAATTTTATCTACATTTCTTTTGAATTTGTTCTCATCAACCTGACTAGTGTTCTGGTTAAGGTGTAACCCCTCTTCTCACATCCATCTTTTTAAAGTTAATTTTCAGGGGTGCCTGGGTGGCTCAGTCGTTAAGCATCTGCCTTTGGCTCAGGTCACGATCCCAGAGTCCTGGGATCAAGCCCCACACCGGGCTCCCTGCTCTGCGGGAAGCCTGCTTCTCCCTCTCCCACTTCCCCTGCTTTGAGTTCCCTCTCTCGCTGTGTCTCTCTGTGTCAAATAAAATCTTTAAATAAATAAATAAATAGTTAATTTTCAGAATTTGAAATCACTTTAACAAGCTCTAGATCAGGGCTCAGCAAACTTCAGCTGCCTGTCTTTGGAAATAAAGTATTATTGGAACACAGCCACACCCATTTATTTAAGCACTGTCTTAAGGCTGTTTTTGTGTTGCAGTGGCAAAATTTAGTAGTTAGAACAAAGACTGCACTGCCCATAAAGCCTAAAATATTTACTATCAGGCCCTTTGTAGAAAAAGTTTGCCAACCTCTGATCTAAATCAATCACTGCCAATACTTTCCAGTCTCTGGACTCCTTTTAAGCACCAAAACCTTTTTCTGAATTCCTAACTGTACAGTTTAAGACAGCTAATTGAGAAAATACAAATAGCAAAGGCTACTCTGAATTCAGTATTGCCTTTAAATACATGTATATTTTATGAT